CACTAATTCGGCCAACCAGTCGTCAAATTCCTCCTTTGACTTCGCCTTCAGCTCAGGCCACGTGGTGAACATCGTGAAAGTGCGAAGTGTCAGCAGGGCAGCAGCCATTTCCGCTATAGAATGGTAGGCAAGGGTAACAGTCAAATGAATGTGTGACGTAGCAATCGTAGGACACCGTCTCAGTACGCTGATTACGTTTGATAAGATATGAGTGCCTTCCCCTATGCTGTGATTAGATATGAGGGCCTTTCCGCAACTCCGCTCTGATTAGATAGTCACTTTGATAAGATATGTAGATAAGATATATGAGTGGCCCCCCCCAACTGGAGTTTCACCCATCATATTGGATCACGCACACAATGTTCACATTTGAATCGAAATTCAATTAGAGTTCTACACAATGAGTGGCTACGCCTGTGGACAACCTGCGCTATAATAACCAGTGCCAGTGCCCGACGTTCTGCAGGTGCGTTTCAAATAGTTTTGAGACCTAAATGGCTGCGATCAAATTGCGACTCTAGAGCAGGGTCAACCTTATCGTTGGTTCGTATTGGAATTATTTTACGACCCCACCTTCAATGGGCAATGATACGACCCCGTCTGAGTCAGAAAACATCTTACTGTGTAAAACGTAAACTTGCTGGCTATTATCCGGATATTACCAAGAATCCCACTGCCGGCCACCGAAACAGTACGACCCCCTAAAACCTAAACCAAGTATGACCCCCCGTTGGTACTTGTGCCAGCATAGGGTTGACCCTGTTTCAGAGCCGTCTTATCTCCCTTCTCATTTCGGCTGGATATACACGGCGTCAAAAGTTCTGAGCTCCATACAGACCAGTTGTAGAACCGCTTCCCAAGCGTATAATCTAACCTAGTAACTAGCGTGACCCTAGCTGCAATATCTCAGCAGTGAATTTGTTTTGATGGACAGAAGTGCGTGCAGCTAGCAAGTATGCACTACTTTTTAGCAAGCTTACGGTCCGGAAAGCGAATTCCTAGGTCGCGGAAGTAGTCTGGCCACAAGTAGCGACACCGAAGATGAAGGCTCGATATAGTCCTGTAGGGCGCTCGTCTGGAACATGATTTCCGAGATCGCTACACCATATTAGGACAACCAAGCTTTCACCACCCCCCCCCCCCTCTCCGCTTATGCCCTTAATGCTTTAATGGATCGGTGTGCACACAATCGATACCCAATATTTGTCACTTAGTGGTGCCATAGAGGAGTTCTTTAAATAGGTAAATGTACTGTTGGCAATATTCCACCAGAAGAGCAAAATACTGAATAGAGCGAATATATGAAGACAACATCGGCTATGGTTTGAACATTACACTGGCATTTGTTTTCCATTAATTTCAATGCGATGTGCGGTAAATCGTAGATCTCCACAGACACTCTACGGTATTTCGTTATAGGGGGCAGTTTTCTAGATAGCTCAAAATTTCAGCAAAAGTACTTTCGAAAATAGTATAGCAGATTAGAAATATAAATAGTGCATGACAACCGGAAAGAACGGTGGGTCATGGAGGCTTACGGCAGGATACGAGGCTATAACGGCGGTAGAAGTTCCTTCCGCACGCGCTACAGACCTCATCGACGAAGGAATCACAAGAAAAAGAAGTTCCGCTTTGAAACCCTGGAAACGCTGGAAGAATCCGGTACAAATTGCATACAAGTCTATGTGAAATGTACCATATTTTGGTCATAAGTGAGTTTTTTGCAGAGGAATTCCCGGAGCCGCCGTCGACGACTCCAAAAATCAGAAGAAATTCATGCCCGACATGCGGAAGCGAGTTAGTCGCAGAAGTTCACTGGCCTGAGTCAAATTGCCTTCTTCATGCTTTGTTGTGAGAAGAGCGAGTCTAGAGTATTAATTTGAGCTGATTTCAGGACCTGTGGGAGAAGAAGTTTGTGAGTCCAAAATCGGAGGAGACGGAGGAACTTCTGAAGAGTTTCCAGAAATAAGCAGTGCAGAGGTGAGCTCAAAGACACCTATCCAAGAAATTTCATCGATTCCTTATGAGCTTTTAATCATTAGCGGATAGGCGTTATAGAAAAAGGGGCGGAAGTGTGTGTAGTGAAATGGCGCGCTCACCACGCGAGCGGTCCGGGATCAAATCCTGGGTCGTGAGTCGCCCGGGCCAACCAAGCCTTCCATCCCTCCGGGGTCGGTTAATTGGTACCAGACTTGTCTGGGAGGAAAAAAAACACTGACTTGAACATCGGCTGGCCCCCGCAAGTCATTGTATAGGCCACATCGCATTCAAACGCCACTACGAATGTACAAATGGAAGTAGAATGCGTGCCGCATCCCAAAAGGGATTGATCAACGGCAAATGCTTTATCCTCTTCATTTTTTGGGTTTACAGAACAGATATCATAAGGGTTAATAGCTCACTCAAATAATCTGGCTTGTACGTGTGAAGGGGCAAGGACAACAGTTCGACCGTTTACCACTGAAAAAGCTGGAAATCATTTCAGATAGCAGAAGCGAGAGCGCGAATCAAATCGAAACAAGAGGAATTCTGAACTAGTGTCATCTAACCACAATAACAACCACAACAAACACTAACCACAACGAACACAAACAACCATAACCATCACAACCATACCATAATCACAACCACAACAACAAACAACAACGGCAGAGAATCAAGAAATACAAAATAAAAAAAAAAAAAAACGAGTATTTACTTCTGTCGAATATTATCTATATAAAACACGATCTTCACAAGAATGCTGGGTTGTGAAACAAAACTTTCGCCCCAGGCGGGACTAGAACCCGCACCTCTCGCTTTCCGGTTCTAGTCCCGCCTGGGGCGAAAGTTTTGTTCACAACCCAGCATTCTTGTGAAACATTCGCAACGCGAACTGCGGCGTTAAAACAGCAGTTAACAAACAAAACAAGTCAAAATCATTCTTTATTTTTACGTTTGTCTTCATATTATGTATTTATTCTGGCACAAGGGTTTCTTGAAAAGATACTTGTTTTTTTCTGGGACTGGAGAACAAATGTCAAAGGTCATTCTCCAATCGCAAAGAAGTCGAGGTGGAAATGGAGGAGGAGGAGTCGGCATTGGCAGTGGTGTTGGAGTTGGAGGTATCGGAGTTAACTCTGGTCTGGGCATAGGTGCTCCAGGAATCGGTGGTCTCGGCGGTGATTCTTTCACTGCCATTATTTTTTGCTTTGAGCTTGAAAAGAAGAAAAAAGCTCTCTGCTAATCGTGACACTTTTCAGGTAACGGTGGTGGAATCTTTGGTATCTCTTCTGGTATAGGTGTCGGAGTTCCAGGCGTTGGACCAATTGGCGTTTCAAGTGGTCTGGGAATTGGACGATAGGAATTTCTGCGCTATTTCGACCTAATAGTGTACATAACGAAAATGCGTTTATTTTAGTTAGAAATGTACATACAGTTTTGTTTACCGTTGTCAGTGTATTGAGTCAGTGTCATAGTTTTCATATCTTCGAGCTCCTTTCAGCTCACTGTAATTTTTGTTCTTCCTGGTATCCTTCATAATTAGGACAAAATAAGTGATAATGTTTTGATGACTTTGCTCAGAATTGGGCGAGTGCTAATTAAGATTTTTCCTCGCAGAAATAAATTTCGGTGTAGCGTCTGCTGATGTAAATTAGAGAAATTTCAGTCATTCAGACATGACACATTTCGCTTTTTGTTGAGAGCCATTCGGCATCCACTCGAGAAGGATGTTGTAACTGTCACAAGATTATATTGTTCCCATCCGGCGGCTCGCATACCGTAACCCGCGGTGGCGCCAGAGCGCAGCTACAAGCCCTCCAGCGCGCAACACTAGCCCTAAGGCAGCGACTGCATTCGGTGAGACTAACCCGGTTTCCCAAGGCAGCAATACAAAATTGGAGGAGCGTCGCAAGCGTTGCCCTCACGCTGGCGGCGGGGGCTGAACCACTGCGCGCAGGCTTAGGTTTGCGTTCGCTGGGACACATGCCTTCGCTTGAACGAGGACACAGAGAAAACCGAGAACTGGGAGGCGAGCACGCATGGAAAATCGATGACACGAAATATGCGACGAGACAAATTTGCGCGTGTTGTAGGTGCCTGTTGTGCGCCTGCACCACTAACATTAAACCTGACGGCGAATTTTTTGCGCGTGTTGGGTTACGGTGCGCAAACGCCGGCATTGGGAACATTATGATCTACGGTAATTGCCCCTTTCACCAGGCGAACTTACTGCATGCCCCAACACTTCCAACTGAACGTGGATTTACACCTCCGGAAAATCAGACAAACTAAAAGCTAAACAGTTCAAACCAATACCAAAAGTTGACGAATTTGTCCTGGGAGACTTAAAAGTGATTCACGAGAAAGAAGCTGATCCATGTCGAAGGCCTCCATGATTGAGTAGGACTTTGCTGCATTGGAGAAGGTGAAAGCCGCTGTGATGATTGGTAAAACAATAAAGACGTAATAACTTCGTATAGCATAAAATAAACCCTGCGCGCTGATCGTATTAAAGTGGCATGCGTCCGACCACCGCGGTTGTCATTGGTTGACCCAACTTGTTAACTGTACTTTATCTCATACTGTATTTCATATTTCATATTTCATATTTATTATCGGAAATCGAAGCTACAAAACAGACGTTGAAAATAAGTAAAAACAAATCTCCGATAAGCGTAAACGAAAGAACCAAATGGGACCCCAAAAAGGAGATCTGCCAGAACAGGGAGTGGATCCAGCGCAGAAGGGCAGTGGCCGCCAACACTGCAAACTCAAGAGGCGTGGAAGTAGAGCTCCGGATACCAACTTTGTAGGTCCGCCAACCTTGCCGAAATCCAGCTCCGCTGCAGAAGTCCTAGGGAGGGAGGGGAAAATAAATCAAGCTCGTTTAATCAGTTCAATAAAAGAGAGCAGGAGTATAAAGCAAGAGTATATAAGTTAGTCAATTCAGAAGCTACCATGTGATTCTCAGGAATGGGATGGAAAACCACCATTCATTCTCGTTACTGATGTTGATTGCAATATTACCTTTGTTTTTGAGTGCAGCAATCAAATCTGTCTCACTGCACAATGTGGCTTTTCGAAAAGAGAGGAATTGTTTCTCCGTGGCCGGAATCGCATTGGTTCTCAATCAAAGGCGTTCATCGATTTTCAGTATCCAGTAGTCCTGTTTGTTGTTTCTTCTCATGCTTAATAAACAAGGAATTTCTACAGTCCCAGACAGCCTTCCGAAGGGTCAGTGAGTGAAAATGAAAACCGAACTTCAATGATTTTTTCGAGTACATTACTCACTGAAGAAAAAACACTTTTCTTCTACCAAACTCATTCAAATGTACGTGCACCTGAAAGCTGTCTGCCCTCATTAAAGAAACAAACGTATCCCATGAATAGAAATGCCTAGAAAGACTTGAGATGATACGGATTCCAAAGGGCAAAAGCTTCAAGTGATAAGTTTAGCAATAAACGTCGTCTCAGAGGAAGTGGTTAGCGTAGGGACGATCCCAGCTTTGAGAGAGTCCCGCATTTCCGACCATTCCAGGCTCCGCCCCACAATCCCCGGGCCCATTGATCAAATAATCAATACCGGCTTACCCGGTTCGTCGATATATAATAAGTAAGGGAAAGCTAGGCGTACCATATGAACGGTTCATTTATTAAAACTCCCGCTTCCCTTCATACTGGCACGTCGAGCTTGGGAGCACAGCGGATGGAGGATGAGGAGAGGGAAGAGAGGAGGATATAGATATTTGAAAATTAACATATGAGCATTAAAACGAAGAATTTCAAAAATTCACAACTCCGCTGTTTCGTTTGCCTACCTTTAAACCACGTTTCACCGCAAAAAAAACTCAACTCCCCCAAAAAACTCTAACAGGACCTCCCCCTCTCCGACCAAGACGGAATACTACCTTCGGTCGAGGAATCCTTGACCTTTGTTCACCTTGGTGGTCAATACTGAACTGATGACTGTAGTTGTTGCCTACGATGATTTACAAAGAAAGACTCGGATCAGCTCAGAAATTCCATGACATCTCAGAAAAGGATATTGTTGATAGTCAATCGATTATCCATTATATTTATTGTCATATAGCTCGTCTACATTCTAAGGTTTCATCCTTGCTCATGTGATTGAGATGTAATCCGGTTTCACTCGGAATCGGAAGCTTCACGAAAAGCGATCACTCTCGTACTTGTCCCTGTCCAGAAACGTCTGTTTTCCCCTCGAAACGAACATTCCGGGTCATTGTTCGAGAATGGGCGTGACAGCCCTCACCGAGAGGCAAGCGCGGGGTATTCTATCATTTTCGAACCACTTACTTTCACTCGTCTTCCTGTTCCTAGCGATAGTGCTGATAATCCTGTTGCACCTTTTATTGCTGAACCCTTCTCGTAAGAGCGCCTTCCTCTGCTAGGATTTTTCCATTAAATTTCTTCAAGAGATGTCGTGGGCTTTGGTGGCATACGTGCTGCTGCTTCTCTTGTCGGCTGCTCACACTTGTGTACGCACTACCAGCACAACAACCACAACAACTACAACGACAGTGGCAGCAACGACAACCACATTTCGTAAGTTAGAGAATTTTGTAACATCTTATTAATACAGGGCTGAAGTTAAGTACTGAATTTTTGTCATTTTTACGTGTTTAATCACAACAGACTGCGAACATATAAAAGCTATGCGACATAAAAAGATGACTGAGGCAGACTTGGCACACGTTCGATTTTCCTCCTAGGTCAGATCGCCAGAGTGCGCGATGATTCAAGCCTAAGGCTAGGCTTAGGTCCAGGCTTATGCTTTTTGCCTACACATTGGCTTACGCCTAATTTAGGGGTCAGGCTTAGACTTGCTACGAATGAATCAGAGGTATCCTGAGTTGACGAGGAGAACTGATATACACACCAA